GCTTCCTGCTCTTGTCAGCATTACCTCAATCTAGTGTCTTCACCCTGGCAACAGCAATTAATTCCAGTAGCAGCAGCAGAACCCAGTCTGAATAATTTTGCAACACTTGGAGAATAGCCACTCTATGCTTCCTCAAAGACCTCAGCACCTGTCAGCCCATATCCTGGTCTCAGAGATTTGGGTGTCAGCACCACAAGTTCTCCTTGTGGACTCAGACACAGCAGCACCATCTGAACAGATTCTCCTATCCATAGTTTCAGCTCTGTAGGCTCTTTTTCTGCAGCAATGTTTGAGATCCCAAACCTTCCCATGTTTGTCCAGCACTAGAGGTGGTAGCAGCTTCCTTAAGTCGCTAACTCCTTTATACCATAATGTTATCTTTTTGTGTTTTCAGTTTTTTAATACCTAGTTAACAAGTCTCTCTATGCAGTTATCCCTGTTAAACATAAATAGTGTAATTTCTGTTTTCATGGCCTAAACAAGCAGCATGGTGTTAACAGAAACAGCTGAGTGCTCTCTGCAGGTGTGTTCAACTGCAGCTGGAATGCTTTGGGGAGCAGGAGAGGGAAAACTGGGAAAACAGAATAATCCAGAGATGTCCCAAATAAACTATTAGGGAAGAAAAACTGATCAACTAGTTTGATTTTCAGTTATATGGACACTGCTGTATGACTGTCAATATGAGAAATACACCTACCATTATTTTTTTCTTTTTTTTGAGATGGAGTTTCGCTCTGCCACCCAGGCTGGAGAGCAGTGGTATGATCTCAGCTCATTGCAGCTCTACCTCCTGGGTTCAAGTGATTCTCCTGCCTCAGCCTATCAAGTAGCTGGGATTACAGGTGCCCACCAGCACATCTGGCTAATTTTTGTATTTTTAGTAGAAACGGGGTTTCACCATGTTGACCAGGCTGGTCTTGAACTCCTGACCTCAGGTGATCCACCTACCTCAGGTGATCCACCTGCCTTAGCCTCCCAAAGTGCTGGAGTCAGGCATGATCCACCATGCCTAGCCCCATTATTGTTAATGGTTACTGTTAACTGTTACTACTACCTAATATTAATTAAGCACTAAAAAATATACCAGGCATAATGCTGATCATTATACATATGTTACCTCATTTAATTCTCAGAATGATTTCATAAGTTAGGAATTAATTTCATGTTCATCTAACAGATGAGATATAACAGATTTTGTGATGTTAACTAACTTGCCCAAGTTTGCACCTCTACTAAAACAGAGAAAAAAAAAATCCTCACAAATTGCAAGAAGACTGTACTTATGAGAAATGACTGTGGATTAGCAGTGACTCTGAAAGCTATGTATCTTGTCCAGTCCCTCCATTCTGTTTTTGTTTCATGGTATTCTATGTTTATAGGGAACTCTTGGGTATAGCCACTAGTGGCATATGCTTATGTTTTTCTTAGCCAAGTGTCAAAAATGGAAAATAAACTAACGAGAGCACAGACTGCTCAGTCTGTTAACAATACAAGCATACTGATCTATTGCACACTTATATGCAAACATATTGTACACAAAGCAAATTCATGATTTGAAAATTGTTCATACTTAAGCTTTCTTGTGTAGCAGAGAGTCATCTGAAAGCTACAGTCTCTCTAATTATTTGACTAAGGCACTTGTTCTTTGGCAAGTAAGATGAATCTATCATCTATCTATCCTATCTATCTATATCTATCTAATAATCGATATCTATCATCTATTTAATGATTTTGTTGAGCTATCATTTCTAAATAGTAAAATGGAGATTCAGTCTTTTTTTTAAAGATGAGAAAACTGAAAACCTGACTTGCTAAAGTTACAAGGCTAGTTACCATGTCAGAGGCTTGAGGAAGGGCAAGGAAAAATGAGCCTGGGACTTGCTGGGCTGCATTCCCAGGAGGTAGGAATTTCTAGCTTCTAGATGTTTAAGGTTAAGGGAACAGATGAATAATGTTTACCAAACAGACCCAGGCCCAGGAATGTCCTGATATATCCATACCTTGAGAACAAAAGCATTCCTAATTTTGCTTTAAAGGTCAATTATTGTAAAATACAGTAATTAGAAAAATTAATCCTTTATAGCAAACCCTTGCAGGAGAGCACATCTGCCCATGTTTTGTTGTTGTTGTTGTTGTTTGTTTGTTTGTTTTTAGTTTTTGTTGAAGTTGTTATGTATAAGCAAGCATTGTACCTAGGGTGGATGCATTGCTCCTCTTTCAGGAATACCCTGCTCTGTCTATGGAGTAGCTATTCGTTCACCACCTTACTTTCTTAATAAGCTTTCTTTTGCTTTGCATTGTGGACTTTCCCTGAATTCTTTCTTGCAAGACCCAAGAACCCTCTCTTAGGGTCTGAATTGGGACCCCTTTCCAGTAACAACCAGAACATGGGTCTCTTACCATGTAGAATAAAACTCTGTTAGGTGAAAATTCTTTAAATGTGTGTAAGGAAGTCACATGATAGACAATAAAAGGTGCTAAAATGGCTTTATATTGACAGAGTATAAGACAATGTATATTAATTGAAAACTTTACTCATAGCAAGTGAAACAAAAGCTATAGAAAATGTCTAAGCTTGTCAAAAACTAAAATTTTCAAATAGCATAAAACAGTCTAGATATCCTTTTTGATAGCAAATGGGATTATTTTAATGCTGCTAGATGTTTGCATCACTTTTAGAATAAGTTATTGTAAGCTTCTTAATATTTAAAGTAAAATTTATAGAAATTATAAAATGCTTTGAGAAAATCATTCTTAAAAAATATTTTTTTGTCAAAAAAGGATAACTAGTAAAATAAGTTGCTTAATTCATTAGTTTAAGCTTAGTAGCAATGAAGGTACAGTTGTGCGTCTGATTCCCAGGTAGGAATCAGCATAGCTCCATAGACTGATATTGTCCTCCCCATTGTGCATATTCACACAGTTGATTATTGAATCTAATTGGATGCCTAGATTATAATTGTATTTCTGTCACTAATTAGCTGGGTGGCCTTGGGAAAATGACTATGTCTCTAAATCTATGAAGATGAATTAACAACACAGAGTATCCACTATGTGTGAAGTTTACTGAGAGTCCCCAAGAATACAAAGATAAGCAAAACTGAACATTGTTTGGGTGAGGGAAGGAAGGAAGACATGAATCAAACACTGCAGAAAGAAATACAGCAATAGAAATTAGGAGAGGTACTGTGAAGTAACTGTGCTGGGTGCTGAGAAGAGGGGAACAGGAACCTAATTTAGTCTTTGAGGGAAGTTCCTGTTGACATCTGAAGGATGAAATCAAGTGAACCAGGTGGTAGAGGGAGGTGTGAGGAGATGGAACAACACAGAGAAAGGAACTGAGGCAGGAAGAAACACGGTGTTCTTGTGAAACTTACACAGGGCTCTAGAGGCTGGAGCAGAGAGAATAAGACCCTGTCAAGGATCACAGTTTCTTCCTCTTTAAAACATCTATTGAAAACTTTCTTCTAAGTTTGCATTTTTAAACAGTATCTAAGGGTTTTCTGTTTGTTTGCATAACACTTATAAATAAAGGCTTAAAGTATATTTACCTCATTTATTTGATCTGATTATCTATATATAGTTGATCCCTGTCTCTGATATGCATACATTTCAGTTACTAATATTAAATTACACCAGTTCTCCAGCAACACAAATTTTAGTTACTACAACATATAAACGGTAAGTAATTTAATAAAGTCCAAACTTTGCTTCTAGCTTTTCCACAAATAAATGCATAAATAATAAATGTGCATCATAATCACAGTGATCACTAATCACATTACTTCTTTCAAAGTCTGTCAGTGATTTTTTTGCTGTTCATTGGTTATTCACTTTACTCACTTGTTTCAGATCATTAGTTGTAATTCTTCCTTGTCTCTCAGTGATAAAACGTGGCATTTTACAAAATTGAATAATCAAAAGAAATAATTGATTAACAAAGAAAAATGCAGCAAAGATTGAAGACTGATAATACTAGACAGGAAACTCAAATGTAAATAAAATTACAGAAAAAAATAGCTCACTACAGGAGTGTTGATACTCCACCACTTAAGCGAATCTAGATATGGAGCCAGAGGAATGTAGTAAAGGCAAATTTATCGATATAAGTGAGGAAAGTGGATGTGATGTGATGAAACAGATAAAGCTATGGAGAGGAAGTGACCTTGGCAAAAGAACCACATATTGAAAGAACTCTCAGAGATAGCTCACAACATTGATAGACTGTCACAGTGAATTCAACCTTAGAAAGGAATATCCAACAAGGCATAAAATGGATGCCTCTTCCATATCCTGTCCTGAGTTAGGAAATAAGAAGGCATGCACTGTTTCAACTCCTTTTGATAAGTGTTTTTTACAAAGAAGTAAAATGCCTTAATTCTTAATATTTTTACTGTTTTAAATTATGGCATACTAAATCATAATTAACTTTATTATAGTTTCCTATTATAGAGAATAAAATGCAAGTTGTTAATATTTTGACAAAAATGTTTAAGGTCATGCGACAATCCTGTTTTTTCCTCATTGCATGGTTTCAGATCACATGGTCACCTTTGTGGCCTCCTACTCGTGCAAAGCAGGAACGATCTGTATGTTTTACAGACTCTAACCAATATAACATTTTCAGTGTTTTATTATGTACCTTAGAAGGTTGGAGTCATTTTTCTGAGTTTTCAAGCTCTTGATTTTGAAGGATTCTAAATCAACAACTCGGAAAATAACATTAGCTAGATAAATCTTTAGGAATTTGTCTAAATATTAGACACCAAATTTTAAGTTTGAGCACCTTGAAAGTCCTAAAATTCCCAGATCTGCTGTACTGCAATAAGTAATAATAAAAATAGAAAAATCTGTATATTTTGCTGGAATTTAGTATTTTATTTTTAGCTAGAAAAATATTATGTTAAATACTGTAATCAAGAGCACCCATGATGAAAATGCACAAAATGACTAAAAGATAATTTAAATTATAGGAAAATGAGGATGAAAAATTTACATACCGATTGTAGAAATCATCTCTGTAGTAATCATAGTCAAAGACATAACCACTAAGGAGGGAAACAAAAAAATTAATTGGCATTTGTTTCAATGACATTAATTTTATTATTAACTTATGTTATAGCATAAAATTTATGTTACTTTAAAAGTACTTATTTTGTAATTTAATTATGTATCCAAAGGACCTTCCAATATAATTTCTAATTTGATATAATGTCATGCCAAATTATTGTTATATGTTTGACAGTGTAGAGACTGATAATGGTTTGTGTGGTTTGGAATGAAGATGAGAACAGGTAGTAAAATACTTTAAAACTTAAAATTAGGTATGAATGAAGACCATATTTTTTCATCTCAGATGAGATATAGTACAGTTGTCCCTTCTTTCTGAGATAATATAATTATCTCTTCTTCCTAAGGTATGTACAGTGAGGCTACATAATGAACAAACGGTTTTGAAATAAGATAAATGGAAAGGTTTAGTAATGCATTCCTTAAAGAAATGGTGAACAGAAATGTGGTTCTTTGGAAATTCACCATTGTTTAATTCTAAAAACTATGGATTTAGTACTTTAAATAGAAAAAATTTTAAAAAAATCTGTTGTCTTACCAACAATACCTTAATATTTTAGTGTATTTTAATATGAATTAATAAATGCATTTTAGTGTTGAGTATTATAACTAAGCTCTGTAAAGGAATACATTTTAAAAAGTCACCTCCATCCACTTGCCTTGTTGTTTGAATTTATGAAGCACTTTATATGTGTTACAATTATAGTCATCAAAACAACTCTGTTGGACAGCATAAATTGAAGAAACTAAGGTGCAATAGACCTAAGTGACTTCCTCAAATTTGCATTCCTACTAGCTGAAAGAGCTGAGATTTACAGGAAAGTTTTCTGACTTCACATTCGGAGCCATTTTCACAACACCTCACAACACTCTGCAATCTGGAAGTCTCAATGTGATGATGAATGAATGGAGTAACTGTACAACAGGGAATAATTTAAAAAAAAGTTTACTTTATTAATTTACTTGTTATTGTGGCAAAACATATATAATTCCAAATTTACTATTCTAATCATTTTAAAGTATATGATTCAATGGCATTAAGTACATTCACAAAATTGTGCAAACATTGCCACTATTCATTTCAATGACTTTATCATCAACCTAAACAGAAACTTGGTACTCATTAAACAATAACTCCCCATTTCTGCCTCTCCAGCCTCTGTCATTAATACAAATACAAATAATGCATAATGCATGACTATGTGTACATATAGTAAAATAATCACATAGTCATACATTATTCTTCTATGTTTGGTTTATTTTACTTAGCATATTTTCTTTTTTTATTTAATTGCATTTTAGGTTTTGGGGTACATGTGAAAAACATGCAAGATTGTTTCATAGGTACACACATGGCAATGTGGTTTGCTGCCTTCCGTCCCCTCACCTGTATCTGTCATTTCTCCCCATGCTATCTCTTCCCACCTCCCCACCCCCCCGTCCCTCCCCCATTTCCCCCCAATGGACCCCAGTGTGTAGTGCTCCCCTCCCTGTGTCCATGTGTTCTCATTGTTCAACACCCACCTATGAGTGAGAATATGCAGTGTTTGATTTTCTGCTCTTGTGTCAGTTTGCTGAGAATGATGGTTTCCAGGTTCATCCATGTCCCTACAAAGGACATGAACTCATCGTTTTTCATGGCTGCGTAATATTCCATGGTGTATATTACCACATTTTCCCTATCCAGTCTATCATCGTTGGGCATTTGGGTTGGTTCCAGGTCTTTGCTATTGTAAACAGTGCTGCAATGAACATTCGTGTGCATGTGTCCTTATAGTAGAATGATTTACAATCCTTTGGATATATACCCAGTAATGGGATTGCTGGGTCAAATGGGATTTCTATTTTTAGGTCTTTGAGGAATCGCCACACTGTCTTCCACAATGGTTGAATTAATTTACATTCCCACCAACAGTGTAAAAGTGTTCCTATTTCTCCACATCCTCTCCAGCATCTGTTGTTTCCAGATTTTTTAATGATCGCCATTCTAACTGGTGTGAGATGGTATCTCAATGTGGTTTTGATTTGCATTTCTCTAATGACCAGTGATGATGAGCATTTTTTCATATGTTTGTTGGCCTCCTGTATGTCTTCTTTTGTAAAGTGTCTGTTCATATCCTTCGCCCATTTTTGAATGGGCTTGTTTATTTTTTTCTTGTAGATCTGTTTTAGTTCTTTGTAAATTCTGGATATCAGCCCCTTGGCAGATGGGTAGACTGCAAACATTTTTCCCCATTCTGTTGGTTGCCGATTCACTCTACTGTTTCTTTTGCCATGCAGAAGCTGTGGAGTTTGATTAGGTCCCATTTGTCTATTTTGGCTTTTGTTGCCATTGCTTTTGGCGTTTTGGTCATGAAGTCCTTGTCTACACCTATGTCCTGAATGGTTTTGCCTAGATTTTTTTCTAGGGTTTTTATGGTGTTAGGTCTGATGTTTAAGTCTTTAATCCATCTGGAGTTAATATTGGTGTAAGGTGTCAGGAAGCGGTCTTGTTTCTGCTTTCTGCACATGGCTAGCCAGTTTTCCCAACACCATTTATTAAACAGGGAATCCTTTCCCCATTGCTTGTTTTTGTCAGGTTTGTCGAAGATCAGATGGTTTGGGGTATGTTATATTTCCTCTGAGGCCTCTGTTCTGTTCCATTGGTCTATATCTCTGTTTTAGGACCAGTACCATGCTGTCTTGATTACTGTAGCCTTGTAGTATAGTTTGAAGTCCGGTAGTGTGATGCCTCCTGCTTTGTTCTTTTTGCTTAGAATTGACTTGGCTATGCGGGCTCTCTTTTGGTTCCAAATGAAGTTTAGGGTGTTTTTTTCCAGTTCTGTGAAGAAGGTCATTGGTAGCTTGATGGGAATAGCGTTGAATCTGTAAATTACTTTGGGCAGTATGGCCATTTTCACGATGTTGATTCTTCCTAACCATGAACATGGAATGTTTCTCCATCTGTTTGTATCCTCTCTTATTTCGTTGAGCAATGGCTTGTAGTTCTCCTTGCAGAGGTCCTTTACGTTCCTTGTTAGTTGTATTCCTAGGTATTTTATTCTCTTTGTAGCAATTGTGAATGGCAGTTCGTTCTTGATTTGGCTCTCTTGAAGTCTATTACTGGTGTATAGGAATGCTTGTGATTTTTGCACGTTGATTTTGTATCCTGAGACTTTGCTGAAGTTGTTTATCAGTTTCAGGAGATTTTGGGCTGAGACGATGGGGTCTTCTAGATATACAATCATGTCATCTGCAAATAGAGACAATTTGATTTCCTCCTTTCCAATTTGAATATCCTTTATTTCTTTTTCTTGCCTGATTGCTCTGGCTAGAACTTCCATTACTATATTGAATAGGAGTGGTGAGAGAGGGCATTCTTGTCTAGTGCCAGATTTCAAAGGGAATGCTTCCAGTTTTTGCCCATTCAGTATGATATTGGCTGTTGGTTTGTCGTAAATAGCTTTTATTGTTTTGAGATACGTTCTGTCAATACCTAGTTTATTGAGGGTTTTTAGCATAAAGGGCTGTGGAATTTTGTCAAAGGCCTTCTCTGCATCAATTGAGATAATCATGTGGTTTTTGTCTTTGGTTCTGTTTATGTGGTGAATTACGTTTATGGACTTGTGTATGTTGAACCAGCCTTGCATCGCCGTGATGAATCCTACTTGATCATGGTGGATAAGCTTTTTGATATGCTGTTGCAATCGGTTTGCCAGTATTTTATTGAAGATTTTTGCATCTATGTTCATCATGGATACTGGCCTGAAATTTCTTTTCTTGTTGAGTCTCTGCCGGGTTTTGGTATCAGGATGATGTTGGTCTCGTAAAATGTTTTGGGAAGGATTCCCTCTTTTTGGATTGTCTGGAATAGTTTCAGAAGGAATGGTAGCAGCTCCTCTTTGTATGTCTGGTAGAATTCGGCTCTGAACTCATCTGGACCTGGGCTTTTTTTGGGTGGTAGGCTCTTTATTGCTGCCTCGACTTCAGACCTTGTTATTGGTCTATTCAGGTTTTCAGCTTCTTCCAGGTTTAGGCTTTGGAGGATGCAGGTGTCCAGGAATTTTTCCATTTCTTCCAGGTTTCCTAGTTTATGTGCATAGAGTTGTTTGTATTAATCTCTGATGATGGTTTGGATTTCTGTGGAATCTGTGGTGATATCCCCTTTATCGTTTTTTATTGCATCAATTTGGTTATTCTCTCTTTTTTTTTTAATTAATCTGGCTAGTGATCTGTCTATTCTGTTGATCTTTTCGAAAAACCAGCTCCTGGATTTATTGATTTTTTGAAGAGTTTTTTGTCTCTCTGTTTCCTTCAGTTCTGCTCTGATCTTAGTTATTTCCTGTCTTCTGCTAGGTTTTGAGTTTTTTTGATCTTGCTTCTCTAGCTCTTTCAATTTTGATGATAGGGTGTCTATTTTAGATCTCTCCTTTCTTCTCATGTGGGCACTCATTGCTATATATTTTCCTCTAGAGACTGCTTTAAATGTGTCCCAGAGATTCTGGTATGTTTTGTCTTCATTCTCATTGGTTTCGAAGAACATCTTTATTTCTGCCTTCATTTCATTGTTTATCCAGTCAACATTCAAGAGCAAGTTGTTCAGTTTCCATGAAGCTGTGTGGTTCTGAGTTAGTTTCTGCATTCTGAGTTCTAACTCGATTGCACTGTGGTCTCAGAGATTGTTTGTTGTGATTTCCGTTCTTTTGCATTTGCTGAGGAGTGATTTATTGCCAATTATGTGGTCTATTTTAGAATAGGTGTGATGTGGTGCTGAGAAGAATGTATATTCTGTGGATTTGGGGTGGAGAGTTCTGTAAATGTCTATTAGATTTGCTTGTTCCAGGTCTGAGTTCAGGTCCTGGATATCCTTGTTGATTTTCTGTCTGGTTGATCTGTCTAATATTGACAATGGGGTGTTAAAGTCTCCCACTATTATTGTGTGGGAGTCTAAGTCTCTTTGTAAGTCATTAATAACTTGCCTTATGTATCTGGGTGCTCC